TAATTGACCTGGAATTTATCTTTGTGTATGGTATGAGATGAGCATCTAATTTTACTTATTTCTACACAGGTAATTCCCCTTTCTTCACCTCTTGTAACATACCTCTGTCTTAGGTCAAATTTCCATATATGTGTAGGTATATTTCTAGGGCCTATAATCTGTTATCTTCCTGTATTCTTACACCAGTTCCACTACTGTAACAATAAGACCTTAATAGTAAGTGTTGGTATCTGGTAGAATTAGTCCTTTCTTTGTTGTTCTTCAAAAGCATCTTTGCTATTCTTGGCCCTTTACTTTTTCTAATTTTTTTTTTTAAGATTTATTTATTTTAGAGAGACAGCATGAGCACGCACAAGCGGGGGGGATGGGGGGGCAGAGAGAGAGGGAGAGAAAGAATCTCAAGCAGATTCCCCATTGAGCAGGGAGCCTGCCATTGGGCTCAATCTCACAACCCCGAGATGATGATCTGACCTGAAACCAAGAGTCGGATGCTCAACCAACTGAGCCACCCAGGCACCCCTCTTTCTTACTAATTTTATAATCAGATTATCAGGTTCCTCAAACAAACAAAACAAAACAAAACTAGGGCTTTCAACTGGCACTGCATTGGATTAAGATAAATTTGTGAACTTACGTCTGTGTGATGCTGAGTTTATCCATTCATGAACATGGTTTATCTTCCCACTTACTCAGGTATTCTTTCATATGCACTATGTATTTCTTGCACCTCTTGTTAGATTTATTTCTAAATACCTTATAGATATTTTTATACTGTAAGTGAAATCACTTTTCCTGTAACGTTTTTCTAATTGATTACTATTGATAAAAGAATGCAATTTTAGTGTTTCTTGTCTTTTGGCAACCTTGACGAATTATCTTATTTTTAATGATTGATCTAAAGATTTGCTTGAATATTTTTATGCAGACAATCATGGAGTAAGTCTTCTTTTGTTTCCTTTCTACCTCTTACATATCACATTGCCTTCCCTTATTGCAATGATTAGTAACTATAATATGGTAGCTGAACGAAAAAGTGATTACACAGTATTCCTGTTTTGTTTTTGCCTTTCAATGGAAATCCTTTTGAAACCCCATCATTAATTATGTTTGGTGCAGGGTTTTATTGGCTCAAGAGTTTGTTGTTGTTTGTTTTTGGAGAGAGAACACGTGCATGCACATGTGCACGCACACGAGCTGGGATGGGGAGGGAGGGCAGAGGGAGAGGAAGAGAGAGAGAATCTTAAGCAGGCTCCACGCCCAGTGGGACTTGATCTCAGGACCCTGAGATCATGACCTGAGTCGAAATCAAGAATCGGGACACTTGATCAACTGAGCCACCCAGGCACCCCTCCTGCTGTTTTTGTTCATGAACAAGTGCTAAGCTTTAACAGATGCTTTTTCTAAGCCCACCAAAATGACTGCCTAACACTTGGGTTGGGACCTATTGATTATAATGAAATAAATTTCATGTATTGGCAGACCAGAATTTTTTTTTTTTAAGAAAGAATATAACAGAGGGACCGAGATATTAGATATTGTTTAGTAAAACTTTCATTTTAGCTGCTTACACAAACACACATATATGTGCTCTGAGTTGCTAAGTAAAACATGCTTCTTACAGTGTATTATATACAAAAAAGTTTGAAAGCAACTGATCTATACTATTTTGAAGCATGAAAAACCACTATAAAGGCCAAACATCTTACTGTAAGGTTTTCTTAAAAATAAATAGCACAATGCTTTTGTTCATTTAAAAATACTCAGCTTTTCCTGTTATCTTTATCTAAGTAATAATGTTTTAGGGGCACCTGGGTGGCTCAGTCGTTAAGAGTCTGCCTTCCGCTCAGGTCGTGATCCCAGGGTCCTGGTATTGAGCCCCGCATTGGGCTCCCTGCTCAGCGGGAAGCCTGCTTCTCCCTCTCCCTACTCCCCCTGCTTGTGTTCCCTTTCTCGCTGTCTCTCTGTCAAATAAATAAAATCTTTTTAAAAAAATAAAAAATGTTTTAAATTTATTTTAATATTTTAAGTATTATTATTAACATAATAAGTCCTAATCCCTTGATGGAGAAAATGACCCACATTCACAGAAACATCTGAAGTCACTAAAAGTAAAAAAGTAAACTATAAATTTCTGACAAGGATTCTTTTTTTTTTTTTTGACAAGGATTCTTTTTCAAGGATCACTTCTATAAAATGTTGTATGTGTATTTCTAGGGTGAGGGTATACAGCTTCCATCATGTTTCCAAACATATCTGTGACCTTAAAAATGGACAGAACCTCTACTCCAAAAAGTTCAATGTTAGTTTATACTTCTTTTAAAAATCATTTTTTTAAAAAGATTATTTTAGAGAGAGCGAGCGTGCATGTGAGTGCGTGTGCCTGCACAAGTAGGGGGAGGGTCAGCGGGAGAGAATCTCAAATAAACTGAGTTCCCTGCTGAACACGGAGCCTGATGTGGGGTTCAATCTCACGACCCTGAGATCATGACCTGAGCCCAAACAAAGAGTTGGACACTTAACTGACTGAACCACCCAAGCGCCCCTAGAAACTATACTTCTAAAATCAGAAGGTAACTTGGCATTTGCATTACTTCTATCACATTTTCTGTACTTTAGTAGTGAGTCTGGCTTAGTCATCTCTTAACTGTTTATATTACCTCATACTTCACTAACTGCCCAGCCTTGTCGGTGGTTTATTAAAAACAAGCATGCCCTCAGAATCCATCCACACATATATGACCATTCAATGTTTCTCTTCACCCATCACTCCTAAAACCTTCCTCTAGAACATTTTAAGATTGTTCCTGCTTGAGACCAGAAGTAATATCACCCGTCTTATTCACCGGATTTATTTCTGGAAGATTTGTGGCTGCTTCCTGATTATGCTGATTATGATCTGTCACCAGTGAGGCTATTTAAAAGAAAGCAACTCTCAAAGAGGAGCTCCAACATGTTCTGCACAATAGCAGCATTGTTGGTGTAAGTAATCTACCCTACCAGAGAGACTACTTAAAGGACAACAACCATTTGGATGTAATTATTTTGAAATCTGGTTTTTTTTACAACTCACAGCCCCTTCTTGATATACCATGCATGCCGACGTTCTCTACAAAAGCCACCTTTCTTTCTTTTTTTTGGGGGGGGGGGCAGGGAGGATCAGAGGGAGAGGGAGAGAGAGAATCTTAAGTAGGCTCTACACCAGCACAGAGCCTGACATGGGACTCAATCTCTCCCAACCCTGAGATCATGACCTGAGCCCCCAAATCAAGAGTCGGATACTTAACCAACTAAGCCACCTAGGTGCACCCAAAAGCTACCTTCAAACAACTCAGCATTACATAGACATTTTAGGGACCACAGTATTCATCTTAGCAATGATGTTGACATTGAGTGCCAAGTACGGTAAATCTAAAGAATATAATATTACTGCTTCTAGTCACAATGTTTAAAAACTCCTATAATTCTCTCTTCCTCTCCCTCTGCCCCTCCCCCTGCTTGTTCCCTCTTTCTCTCTCTCTCTAAAATAATAAATCCTTTTTAAAAAATAAATTAAATAAATAAATAAATAAAAACGCCTAATTCAGGGCACCTGGATGGCTCAGTCAGAAGAGCATGTGACTCTTACTCTTGGGGTCATGGAGTTTGTGCCCGTTGGGTGTAGCAATTACTAAAAAATAAATAAATAAACTTAAAAAAAACAAAACTCCTTCTAATTCTGCAAAGCTATGCTAATTCCCTGGCTGCTGTTGGGATATACTGGAATGGTATCCAAACTGAAAGAAAGCTGTCTTTATAGTCTTAAAAAACGTTCCCAAATTAAGTTATATAAGATGCATAAATTTGTAAGTGCACTGAACAATCTATTATTTTTATGCCATTTTATAATCCCTAAAGCAGTATTTTAATCATAGCAACCTGTTAACAACGATTACATCTGGTGAGTGGGACTGGCAGGAGTAGATGAGGAAAAGAGAGTTTTTGTTTTTGCTTTTTTTTTTTAAAAGGACTTTTGCACTGTTTAAATATTTAAATTAAACATGTACTTTTTAATGAAAAATTGAATAAAGAAAAAGGGTACAATTATGAAATCAGAATCCCCACATTGATGTTATTCTACTCCCTGTCATCCCCACCTCTAATCTCTTTCCAGGAGATTGCAGCACTCTGAGAGCAGGGACCTAGTGTGTCTTCTACAGCGTTCAAGCTCCCACAGAGGCATCCCCATGAGGGATGCTAAGCATGTGTAGGGAGTAGAGGTGAAGGTGATGGGAGCAAGACAATTCAACACGCCTTGAAGTGAGCATTAAAAAAAGCACTTCTATTTGGAAAGTAGACTTCAGAATACTAGGATCTATTTTCTCTTTGAAATGCTACTTAACCTCTATTCACACCTCTAACTGCTGTGCTCCTTAAACATTCAGACCCCTGTTTGAATGATGGCCAGAGTAGTCCTCTAGAGGGTTAAATAATTGCTTAGGTCATTATTACCATAATTTTGAGAATATCTTCCCAAATTTTATGTATGAAGTCCATTGCCAAGAGCCCATTTGACATCTTTTTGAACTACCAGCCAAAATGCTAGTCACCTGTTAGAGTGACTTCACTCTTACTGCTTCTAAACTCTGAATTCCATTTTATATCTTCTTATCCAACAAACTTGCTTCATAGTGGATCACTCTTCTTAATAACCCATCACTTTCTCCATGAAGCTCATACACCTAAGCTTCAGCCTCATTTCAGGTCACAAGCCACAAATATAAATGCCTACACAGGGACCAGACAGATAACATTAAGTGCAGGGGTACGGTAAGCAATAACAGGGAGTACCAACAATAGAACAACCTTTTCTCAGGACTGTGAGTTTATAAAGAACAGGGTACTAGGAATGGGGAGTTCTAAAATCCTCTAATCTGAACTGTAAAATACAATACTGTGAAAAGAGGCCATGGGTTTAAATGAGGTCAGAGAAAACTAATGCATGAAAGCCGCTGTTGACAAACCTGTCCCAAATTTGCTGAAGGGATGTTTGGGATTCCCCGTAGCTTTTTCCAACTGAAAGAGTCTCCAGGCATCGTTCATCACATTCTTCTCATGTTCTGAATCAACTGCATTCACCTCTCTGTCTTTGCAACTCTCATCAAATAAGGGGCACAGGAAAAACTGTGCAAACCTAAGGGTGTGAAACATAATTAACAATTCAAAAGCTGTTATTTTAAATGAGTGGCCTTTAAAAAATATGTTTGAAACTTAACAGATAAGAAATATGAATTCTACAGAACCAAAAAAACTACCATTGCTACCAAGAGAAAAGAAATGCGAAATAAGTTCTAAGTAACAGAAGAAAAATACTGGACATATGTAAATTCAGAGAAATCAATCTACCCCAGGGATATTAGTGAAAATACACTCAGTCGACACACTTAAGATGCCAATCCCAAGTCCACGTTGTACCTGGGCTTCTAACTAACTGGTTACAGATCAGAGGTTGCCACCACTCCCTCTGGTTTAATTATTTTGCTACAGCAGCTCACAGGACTCAGAGAAATGTTTTACTTAATAGATTACCAGTTTATTATAAAAGGATGTAATTCAGGAATAGCCAGATGGAAAGGATGCACAGGGCAAGGTACACTTAGGAAGAGGCATGGAGGCCACTCTCCCCAACCTCCATGTTTTCACCAACCTAGAAGTTCTGCAAACCCTGTCCTCTTGGGTTTTTATGGAGGCTTCATTACGTGAGCATGACTGATTAAATCACAAGCCATTGGTGACTGAACTCCAGCCCTTCCTTCCACTCCTGGAAGGTCTAGGGACAGGAGTGAAAGTTCCAACCTTCCAATCACAGGGCTAGTTGCCCTGGAAACCAGCCCCCCTCAGGTTACCTAAGGGCTTCCCCAAAGTCACCTTATTAACATACCAAAAGAAACCTTTAATACTCTCATCATTTAGGAAATTCCAAGGGTTTTATGAGGTATGGGCCAGAAATAGACAGAAAAACCAAATATATATTTCTTAATATAAGTAAAAATATCACAACAGCAAAAAGTCAAGGCAGACTTACAAAGACTGTAGCAATCTATTTAAGATATGCAATTTGGCAAGTCATGAAACTCCTTCTTATGTACGGCTAATTCTCCAAAAAAGGAAAAGGCAGGTGACACTTCTTGGGCAAATCAATCTTAAATTTACAGTTTTAGGTGCAACTGCAATAAGATTCAGACATTTTAGGACAAACTAAGTGATCTACATTTTTAAAAATTTCTTTTTAAGTAGGTGCCACGCTGGGCGTGGAGTCCAACATGGGGCTCAAACTCACGACCATGAGATCAAGACCTGAGCTGAGATCAAGAGTCGGACACTTAACCAACTGAGTCACCCAGGCACTCCAAGTGACCCACTTTTTAAAGGCTCTATTTGAATATCTTTTCTTCTTATGGAGAAAAACAAACTTTAACTAGTGGGGAAAAAATAATGGAATGAAAATCCTATGACACAGTAGTTTGACTAAGACACAATTATGGGCTTTTATAAAATATTAAGAGAATTTAAAAATTTTAATAACCAGTGATTCAACAAATAACATGGCATGTAACTCTAACATAAGTAATCAAATGCTTCTCTTGAGGCTACCCTTTAGTAGTAGTACCAAAGTTTAAACTAAAATAACTTTAGGGGGACACCTGGCTGGCCCAGTTGATTAAGCATCTGCCTTCAGCTCAGAACATGATCCCAGGGTCCTGGGATCGAGACTGCATCAGGATCCCTGATCAGCAGGGAGTCTGCTTCTCCCTCTGCCTCCCCCACCCTGCCCCTACTCATGTTTTCTCTCAAATAAATAAATAAATAAAATCTTTTTTAAAAAATAAAGTAACTTTAGTTATAAGTTAACTCTCCTGCATCAGGTTGCAATTTAAAGCATGATTTCATATAGTGAATCTTAAGAAACTTTAGACCTCATCTTATAAAAACAAGATCCAGAATTCAGATGAAGCCACAAGCAGAGGCTGTCCGAATAGGGCCTAACAGGCTCCTGGATCTATAGACATCTCAGCAACTGTACCTCACAGTTCAGCTGCCAGACAGACTGTAATCACTACTTGATACTTATTTTATGCACATAGTAAATATGATACTGTGCTAAGCACGTTACACATACCAATCCAAAGGAAAACTCCATCTATCTGGAGTCTATAATCAAAGATACATAGATACAGATATTTCTGGACATGTAAGCTCTTTTACCTATCTCAATATGCTTAAGCTGGGAAAAGTGCCTAAAAGCTACATATCATAGCTGGATAGGTCCAAGTAAAAGGGTCATGATAATGACACAGTATAATCAATATTTTAAAAAGATGCTCTCATGAGGTGCCTGGGTGGCACAGTCCATTGAGTGTCAGACTCTTGGTTTTGGCTCAGGTCATGATCTCAGGGTCGTGAGATGGAGCCCCATGACCATCTCTGCGCTGAGTGCAGTGTCTGCTTAAGATTCTCTCTCCCTTTCCCTCTGCCCTCCCTCCACGCACATGTTCTCTCTCTAAAATAAATCTTAAAAAAAAGAAGATGCTCTTATACAAGTATTTTTTTTTTAATCCTCTGAGTCAAGTAACAGACATCCTCCATCATACAGAGATTATAATGAACATCTGCTGTAGCATTTGTAAAGCAGGAAATTAAATTCAGTGTATGATCCCAGGGAACTCATTAATGGAAGTCTTCTGGGAATACATACAAAAGATGATTACACCTCAAAGCTGCTGCCTAAAGACTGAAATATAACTAGAATAAGTAAGAAACAGGCTACTATGACCCAGCCATGTATCCCAAACCCATGCCTCTTCCCTGTTAATGTTCTTTCCGCTAAGGAATAAAGTCAAACTACTAGGTTTTTTAAAAAATGTGATGACTATTATTAATATAAGTAAGCAAATAAAGCTATTACTAAAACTGCTAAGTCAAAATTCATTACAGACCCATCAAAAAGCTGCAGAATTACACCTTCTTGGCAATAGAGAAAACTATAAAAAGTTATCAAGGAAAAATTACACTTTGGATAATGAGTCAAATCACTAATATGACAAAAAATTACAAATTGTTAGCTGTGTAGAAAATTGACCAAGAAATTAAATCGGCCTAATGGAGCTTGCCCCAGAAAATACTTTCACAAAACGTCCCCAGGGTTGAAACAGCTGGTCAAAACATTCTGTGTCACACAATGAGATATCACCTCACACCAGCCAGAATGGCTGTTATCAAAAAGACAAGAAATAACAAGTGTCGGCAAGAATGTGGAGATAAAGGAACCCCTGTGTTGGTGGGAATGTAAATTGGTGCTGCCACTGTGGACGACAACCCTCAAAAAATTAAAACTAAAACAACCATATGATCCAGCAATTCCACTTCTGGGTGTATATCCAAAGGGAAAAAAAACACTAATTTGAAAAGATATAAGCACTCCTATGTTCACTGCAGCATTATTTACAATAGCCAAGATATGAAAACAACCAAAATGTCCATGGATGGACGAATGGATAAAGAAAATGCAGTGTATATACACAACGGAGTATTACTCAGCTGTAAAAAAAAAAAGAATGCAATCTTACCATTTGCAACAACATGGATGGACCTAGGGGTATTATGCTAAATGAAATAGGTCAGACAGAGAAAGACAAATATGATCTCACGTATAGGTGGAATGTAAAAAAACAAAACAAAACCCATAAATACAGAGAACAGACTGGCAGTTGTCAAAAGAAAGGGGATGTAGGAGGTGAGTGAAAGGAGTCAAGAGATACAAACTTCCAGTTAGAAAAGTCACTGGGGATATAATGTATGGCATGGTAACTATAGTCCATAATAAGGCATTGCAAACTTGAAAGTTGCAAAAGAGTAAATCTTAAAAGTTCTCATAAGAAAAAAATTTTTTGTAATTTTGTATGATGACAGATGGTATGTAGACTTATAATGGTGATCATTTTCTAATGTATACAAATATTGAATCATTATGTTATATACCTGAAACTAATACAATGTCTATTATACTTCAATTAAAAAAAAAAAATTCTATATCCACTAAGTATCCCTGAGACTAGAGTAACTATAGCATTCTGGAATAGGAGCATGTTTGAAAAGAAATCCATGACACTTCTGGTTTATTCTTCATGACATGCTTTATATGGAATACCAGTTAGAATGGGGAGAGCTGGTGAGAATTTTATAAGTCAATAAAATATGTAGGGCTAAAGACTGGTTTAAAGTCACGCCATTATTTTTCCTCTACCACAAAATATATAATATCACCCATTATTTTTTTCTTTTTTATAAAACACGGGGAAATACTGGTTAAAATACTTTTTGTTAAGCTATAAAGCTGTGAAGACATCTTTGTAAAAATAGTAACTGTTACTACTATTAATGTAATAAAGTGCACAAAGTTGGAAAATTCATACGGTATTCAGCATTACCTGTCTAGGGCACCTTCTAGGTGTTCGTGGGAAACATCGAAATAGTAATTGGTATGTTCTCCACTAGTAAAGGCATTTGAACTTCCTGCGTGCTCACTGAGAAACTGGCTGTATTCATTTTCTTTAGGGTATTTCTTTGTTCCCAAAAATAGCATATGTTCACAAAAATGACTTAAGCCAGCAATATTTGGCGGATCTGACAATGAACCTGAAAGAAAAGAAAAAAATACATACCACAAATCTTTTTTTTATGTTGAAAGTTATAAAATACAGATGGATTGCAGATGATGTGGAACTTCCATTAACATGACAACTCCAACCACACAGTCAGAGAAAGTTAGGCACAGGCTGTTCTAAAAGGGTACTGTTTCGATTCTAGCCCTAGCTTTTGATATTAATTAGTTGGTGACTTTGGGCAGATTACTTAAACTCTCTGGACATGAGTTTCCTCACACATCACACTGGAGGAAAAGAAAGGGTTGAATTCACTGTTTTATAAGAGCTAGAACGTTCTAGCTCTGACATTTTATTGCAGGAGATAATACAGTGTAGTGCTAAGAGTGTAGGTTTAGGGTTACCAGCTCTGCTGACTGTGAAACTGTGAGCACAATACCTTATCTTGCCACAGTCACTTTTTCTATATATACCTACTCTAGAGAGCTGTGTGAACTCAAATCAAATGATATTTGCAAAATGCACTATGCTGTACTTGGCAATAATTATTTGTTCAATACATGATGGTTATTACCTTATTTCCTCAATTTTAAAATGCCACTGAGTTAAATAAAAGCTTTTCAGAGAGGAAAAAAAGAAACACACCTATGTACATACAGGTAAGAATCAACTGATTAAAGCCACATTAAATTTAAAAGGAAATGTGCACACAAGAATCTAGAAAATATGATTATTTCCTAGTGTACCAAAAGTGTACAAAAGCGAAAGCATTACCACTGCTAACTAAAGGATTGGAATTAATTTCGTTGCTGCTAGGTCACCTTAGCTGAGAAGCTAACAAAATGTCTTGGTAAATAAATGTAAGATTATTTGATTTTGACAAATGTAGATTGCCAATAGCTGTACAGGGCTATTGTACAAAGTAGGGTAGATCAAACTGTAACTAGGAAGTCTATTTGCACACACATGGAGAGTTCTAATAAATCTCAACATTAGATCAAGAAAACAGAACCAAGCTCAATTCACAATTTAAATTGTACCTATGTGCACATCAAGTGCTGCTGATGACTTATCCGTGGTCGGATCACTGATGAGAAGTACTTTGATACCATTGGCCAGCTCTAGCCCACGGTATTCTCGCTTGTCTTCGGGAGATTTGATAATGTGATTTCCTAGTCTCTTGATAGCTGGATTATTCATCTTGCTGTAAGTCTTCTCTTGGAAACTAAAAAGAAAAAAAAGTATTAATTCTTGCATTGTGGCTTAATTTTTTTTTAAAGAATAAAGAACAATATCAAGCAAACCCATATAATACAACATCAGATAAAAAAATATCTGGAGAAAACTTTTTTTATAGCTCATCTACAGGGTATTAATTCCTCTCTTCCCTCTTACCCCTCATTCTTGTTAGAGAAATGCTAACAATATTGTTTCTGTGGAGTCCTATTTGATCTAGGAGAGCACCTGGGATGGATGGGTATTTGAGACAGGATAGGCTGGGTGATGAGCTGGTCAGTGGGCTGCCCTAGAATGGGTTTTTAATTACCAATAACCACTTCCGCACATATTTCAGAAATATTTACTAAAGTAAGATGTGAGGTTGTGTAAAGGTTATTATAGGACCAAGCCAAACATTGCTCAACCTGATGATATTCAAAGATAGGACAGAGCTAGAACTCATGGGTCTGATACGCACATGCTCAGAACATAGGGGACGACAATTACCAATGAGAAAAAAAACCTGTAAAGTCCTGATACAAATAAGACACCTGGGCTAAACTATGAAGGCAGAAAAAAAAGAAAGAAAGAAAAAGTATATACAATCAAAAAGTGGGAAGGATCCCAAGTAATTTTTATAATCTGGTGAAGTAGTCCTCTCCTTTCCTCTCTAGGAAAGCTGAGTTACCAAGATGGGAAGAGGCTGTTAGCACACAGAATTCTGTAGGAGTACTGTCTGGTATTAGTGCAAGGAAGAGATGTTCCAGAGTCTGGGATTATGTATATTTTTGAGACTAAGAGTATATGCTATTTTTGTCTATGTTGGGGATCATACAAGAGACAAAAATAAGCCTCTTATCATCAATAAGCCAATAGACTAATCGGGTAAAGCCCCAAACATCTGAGACTACAGAGGAAAAATGACCCTATGCTAGCATATTTTCTTCTTACCTGGAAGATAAAAGAAGTAGATCTGTCTGCTCCTTAAAGACTGATAGACGTCCAAGATTTAAAGGTAAATCAGAAGGGGCATAAATAGGCATATTATTATCTTCAATAAAACCTTTACTTTTCGTGTTAAAATATATGGAAAATAAGGGAAGGAAAAATTCAGTTTGCTTTTACCAGAATACCTTCCACTCGAGGAATTCAGCTGTATAGGGATCAAACCATTCTGAACACCTACAAACTCAACAGGAGATCGAAGAAAAGAAAAGCAACAACTCTCTGAACAGAAAAGCAACCACTTTCTGGAAGGTAGGACGTGCGGAGAAGTGAATCCGAGGCGATATTCGGGAGGATAAACGGTGGGGGAGGGGGCCTCCATCTGCCGCTTCTGGCAAGTGACAGAGCAACGGAGCACAAAATTGGAACTTTAGAAGTCTGCTCCGCTGAGGGACATCGCTCCGGTGGCTAAGCGGGGGGTGGAACCCTCGTGGGACAGTGTGGTCTCAGGACCCTCGGGTCACAGAAAGACCGGGGGTGCCTGAGTGCAGCAGAGCTCCCAGGTATGGGAGCGGGGAAGCCGGCTGCAGAGACGGAGCCCAGGCGCGGGCTCTCAGCTCAGGGTTGCCATAAACCCTGATCCGCGGCACAGTCGGGCCACTGCTCCTCCAGCAGGGACCCAACAAGCGGCAGATCCGGGGAGACTCACCTTCCTCCCCCCTGAGGAGCGGCGCGGAAGCGCACTGCAGGGATCTGCTGGGTTAGGAGACTCCACACCTAGTCGGGTGCCAGAAATAGAAACGCTGGGTCACAGGCCGGTGAGCATGGAGTGCAGCCAGAGACCAGGGAGACGGGAGTGATTGACTGCTTTTCTCTGGGGGCTCACAGAGGAGCAGGGCCCTGAGTTCTCCGCTCCTCCAGGGCAGAGACTGGGAGGCCGCCATTTTCACTCTCCTCCCCCAAAGCTGTAGGGAAAGCTTGCGGGAGAACAAAAGCTCCCTAGAGCAAACCCCAGCAGATTACTTAACCTGGACCAGGCAAGGGCGGGGCAATTCCGCCTCTGGCAAAGACACTGGGAACCACGGCAACAGGCCCCTCCCCCAGAATATCAGCGAGAACAGCCATCCAAGACCAAGTTTACGGATCAATGAGAACTGCAGAACTCCAGCGCTAGGAGAATACTGCACATAGAATCCATGGCTTTTTTTACCATGATTCTTTAGTCTTTCAAAGTTCATTTTTTTTTAACTGTCTTTTTTTTTTTTTGCATTTTTCTTTTTCCCTTTTTCAACGAACATCTTATCAATCCCTTTTTAAAAAAATTTTTTATTTTTCATTTTGAGTCATATTCTATCCCTTCATAATAGTTACCCGTATTTTTGGCATATATATATAAGTTGTTCTCTCTTTAAAATTTTGAGATACAGTTTCTTCTAACAGATCAAAATATACCCTAAATCTCTAGTGTATGGCTTTGTTCTAGTCTCCTGCCTGATCACATTCCTTTTTTTTTTTA